AAGTGAAGGGACCGATGAATAGCTAAAAAATTCCTCAATACCCCAGATCATGTTCATTGGGTGAGCCAAAAATTGCCTACCCCAATATTTCGATCAGGGTACATCATCGTGATGTGTGAAATGGTGGCGTCAAAGCATCTCTCCTGAGGTAGGGTCTCGGTACGACTCCCTCCCCCTTCCCCAACACCTACCTCCCACTTTCCCACATGTTCCCAGCTTCCTACCATTTTCTCCGAATTTCCGAAAATTTGCTACTTTTTCCCAAAAAGTTTTGATTCTTGCGGTAGGCGGAGGGCGGGGGGGGGGGTATATCGCAAAGATGTAGCAAATGTAAAACAGGAGAAACCGCAAAAAGTGCCGCAAATTTCTCTCAATGACACATACGACCACTTCTCCACCCCAGCGGCAAGAGACCTCCCGCATCTATTTCACATAACTATGCTGCATCCTGATTTCGTTCTGTTTTCACCAATGAGCTAAGTAGACCACTTTCTACATGCAGGAGTAACAACAAAGTGTTTTCCAGCTAGTCGCAATGTAGTGTAGCGCTTCCACGTTAAATCATTTAGATCCTCTTCCATGAACAGTGCACCTGACACTCATCACTTGCAACATCACGTTGCACCAACGTGGTTTTCCTTCATCACAGCCGGCGCTGCCATGCGTTCAGCACCTACCTGAAGTCAGTAGATTAACCTTGTGTAGTAGAAGGCGGGGGACGGCAGTTGGGGACAGAACGGTAGGTTCGCACTCTGAATCTGCTTTCAGATGTGTGATAAATTGCAAGCTGGAGGGAATCTGACGCGAAGCTGAGCTAGGTTATCGTCTGCTCCACATTGTGACTAGCAAGAAATTCCGCAAACTCTTTGCTGTCACCTTCAAAAGGGGTTAAGTGACCGTCGATGACGACTGCCGTAATTGGTGATGTCGACAGACTAAATTAGCACCCGGCTAATGGAAGGTGTTGTAGCATGGCGCACGAAACATTAAACGGGTCAGTGGTTCCACCACGCAACCACCATCTGTGGTCGCATGCCGCCTGACGCCCAAAAAAAGCTTGCTGGGAACATCTTGTGTGGGGTTTCGATGACTGTGTGATTTTTTTTGGAAATACAGGTCGCAGAGTTCACAAACTGGGATTGGTAGTCACGATGGACTCTGGTGATTACATAAAACGAAATGGTTCAATTAATCAGCATCTTTCAGACTTCACTAATAAGCAGAAGAGACTTGCCTGATGGAATGTAAAGGGGTGTATGTCGTTTGGCAAGATCACTTTGCCTCCGACAAACCAAACCTGTCAGGCAAACCGTATTTCAGGACGAGCAACTCGTGCGATACCCTTCACTGATGCGTTCCCCGGTAGTTATCAGAAGGTAACCGGTTGGAAGGATGAGTCACAGCAAGCGACATTCACTACTTTGGTGCTCAGTCGGCCGTTCCGCAGTTCGGAGAGTGGTGAACATATGTGTGTGAAACGTCAACAGCGCCACATACTTCAATGGATGCCACGATTTTGGGAGGAAGCCCCGTCAGCTCACTGAAACTTTGCTTCTAATAAAGAAACAGGTTGCTAGAGCAAACCGTACACCTCGCGTAATCTTTTCCTTGCCTATGTTGAGGCAACTGGTCCGCAGTGCAGTGTACTTCCATTGTGAAAGATACGGCAAGCAAGGTGGACGGAACCGATGGCTGCCAGATCAGAGTGCCTTGGTGTAGTCTCCGGGTTACCCCGTTCTTCGTGTTGCGCGGCTCAGCCAGCAGCCCTAACCATAGCCAGTCGCTATTGCTATCGTGCAGCTGCTGTCGTCATCACCACTTTTGGTGTTGGTCTCTATCGCCGGTGTGCGTTGGTGCTGATTTTGGTCGACGGATGGTGCGCTGACATTGAGGGTAGGCGCTAAAGTTTGCCCATGCACTAGTACGCTCCTGCTCCGTGCACTTTTCGAGCGGATAACTCTGCAACGGTACTGAAGCTGCGGACCCACATGCCTCGCACAGGGAACGCACATTTTGTCTTGACGACTTTATGCAGTCTTCAAGATGCAGAAATCCATCAGTCTGTAATGGTAAGTGATAGCCGATTTGGAAGAGGCCTGGCACGATCAGCTATGAGACAGTATGGGGACGTGCTCGCGCCATGCCACCGTCTCCCACCTTAAAAGCATTCATGCAAAACTGCTCTTTGCCGATACCAGTCACGCAGCCCCCCCCCCCACCTCTGTTATAGATGTGAAATCTGATAATTTGTGAAATAGGCTAAGAGGGGCTTCAAGAGTGTAATAATATGCGCAGGACCGAGATCGAGTTCGAGTCCTGATTGAGGTCAACTTTCATATCTTTCTCATCCAAAAACAGCAGATATTACAATCAACAGTAGTACTTTTATTCAGAGAAGACTTCTTGAATGGCACATTGACTAGAAAATAAGTTGCAACACGAGTCACGTCACTGTAAAGACAGTATCTACATGTAAGTTGAACTTGTGAAACCCGTATTATTCACGAAGTTACAATTAACAAAGATTCAAGGAGGGCGTTCGATGAGGTAATGGTTTCGTGGAACGTCAATCAGTCACACCACCTAGTAAAAAAATGCGGTGTGGATGCAGGTAGCCCTGATGGCTCTGTGAAGCTCCCAAATGGGAACCCTTGAGCCCGGTGTCCTTCATACACTGAATGTGAGCAACTTTTCTAGAGCTATCATAGTTAGATTCCATAAATAGGAGAAAATCGACGGAAATTTCCAGTTAGACAGTCTCGTCGGTCAATCTCTGAGTTTCGGCATAAGGCGGCGGTGGAAACGACGACAACATGGATGTAGTGGTTGGAGTGGAGGTGGCAGTCTGGTATGACGGCAGAAGTCTGGAATACTGGCAATTAAGTGGGACTCATGCAAAATATACGGTAAAGAGATAAGGTTCAGACGGCTAGAAACACCGTACCCAATATTTGACGACACCACACTGATGTTGGAATTTCGATTAGTTACGGATGGCCGTCGGCAAGAGATTCTACGCAAGTAGACGAGTACTGATGACCTATAACACCATGGATATTACTTCGTTACACATAACCGGTAAGATTCAGGAGGTAAACAAACCTGCGATTAGATTTTGTTGGCATCCACATCATAAAGTCGTAGTTCGCTATATTGCCGTAGCTCACCGAAAACCTAAAGAAGCACACGTCGCTTGCAGAAAATGAAAGGTAAACATTGCTTCAAAACGATGAAAAATTGGCGCTGAGGTAGCTGTGTTAGACCCGGCCAAGCTCCGCCGACTCCTTTCGTCTGCGCTCTCTGGACCGAGCCCAATGAAAAAAGGAGAGGGGAGGAATCATTGGGCGGACATTGTCACGGCGACAAAAAGTAGGCGCGCGGAAAAGGCGTGAAATAGTTGTATCGCCGTGTGGCCCCGCCAACTACCTCAGCGCTGGGGAACTCTTTGACATTCAGGCAGTCTTTCGCTAAAGCACACGTTCTTTTACAATTTTCTATAGGAAACGTGGAGCACGTGATCATACCGCTGTTGCTCATGAACTTCTAGAACTGGTACTTAGGCGCTAACGTAGTGGAGGGGCTGCCATTTGGCTGCCCATCTGTGCCATCTGTGTTCCCTCTCTTGAATAAGCCCTTGGCTCAGTAGAGACTGTGTCTTCACCGCGAGACTAAATCTCGGAGGCTCTGGTGGCCTGCGCTGTAAAACTTGGCCAGATGAAGGGGTACAGAGGCACAGTCGCGATGCTCGCGCAGTCCATACTTGAAGCGCTTCAGCGACAGAGATACGGATGACAACTGAACTGACCCAATTTAGCTACTTACGTCTTACTGAACCCCTTTCACCAACTCCTCTACAGCAACCGCTCATCTGTCATTCAATAGCCTCAAGGTACTGTTGAAATATAATGGCTCGTCCTAATAGAGGTGAAAAGAACTATTCCTTAGTCCTCTTCTTGGATATTTTCACACTGTCGCTTTTTTTTTCTTTCATTGATGAGTTCTTTCATTCAATAGGACTTATAGCCCTACATAACTGCAGCGCTTTACAGGAGTTCAGGACACTTGACAGGAATCTACAGGACTTGCTGGGTAAGATACGGTATTCACATGTAAACTGTTTACACGATTTAACTTAGCTTATATGCCAAGTGGTCTGCCCCGCTCCCCCTCCCCCAAAAAATATTCGTGCCGGAGAATACTTGTGTCAGAGGGGCATCCTGCATAACAATATATTCACATCGAATGGAATATGCGGAATTGAATTTTCCTGACCAGTGGTCTCATGGTCCAGTAGTCTGAATTACCCCTTTCATCCGTGGCCTAGTGGCGCAGATGACTCGTGGCAAGCATGCCCCAGGTAAGCAGGCAGATTCCGGATCGTTTCCCGCTGGGTCTAACCAAAACTTTTCCAAACTTGTATAGTTTACTTGTTACCAGGTTTGTCTGGGGAAGGCACTGAAGCCTTTGTTGAACTACATAAAAACTTCACAAACCACTCCATGGGCCATGTCGCATTCGAAATGTCCCATTTGGGAGTTAAATGCGTGGCGCATCTTAAAAAGGGACTGATCCGCGCTCTACAGCTATATAGCCTTACTTTTCATCCGTTATTGTAATGCACCCAACTCGACCAATCCATCGCCCAAGATCTAGCGATATCAACATTTTGGTGGTCCCGAAGATAGACATCAAAATCGCAGAAGATGTAAAGGGAGGGGAACGACTTCAATCGAATTACATTCCAAGCTGTGCTTCCGCTTAAATGTCGCCGCAGAAAATTGAAGCGTCCCAGAGGAAATGAAGCGTCTCGTCATTTTCTTGCATGAAAATGCGCCTCGAATTCTAGCAAAATAGCCATGTTCTATGTCAGAATGCTCGAAAAGCAGCGTAAAAACATATTTCAACTTGAAATATTACTGACCTCGGCTTAGCCAGTCGACTTAATGTGCACATACATCCGAGCGCCACCAAGATAAGCACAGAAATACCCAATAAAAATGTCACATGATCTTCTTGAATTTCTGATGGCTCATCCAAGAAGATTGGAGGAGGATAGAACTGAAAACAAGATTTTTATTTGATTGTATAATATGTAAAAAATGAATATGAAGATGATCACCAAACTGTTTTGAATTTGAACTTGGTTCCTCAGAGGCATATAGCACGATAATTTGGTACTCGGTCTCAGATGCTAGCAGAGTGCTATATAGAGGGGAAAGTAAGGGAGAAAAACGAAGTGAAACGGTCAGAAACCTGCAAAAAACCCTCTGTCCTTACGACTCAGAAAGCTGTTTTGGACGAGTTCCTCGTTGGCATCGTGCCAATAACCGCTACGGTAGATACGTATGTACTCTCGTATGCAACACCATGCCCGCTTTATGTCAATCCCTTCGCTTCATATTTTACTTCGCAAATAAAGCGATACGAGCATCAGGATAGGTCGTCATTTGTGGGCGAGGCGGGCGTGGTGGGCGTTCGGGTCGGTATATTGCAGCTTGATAGTGCCTTCCTTGGAAAAGGCGCTACGCAGCGCCTGCTCAGGAGCGCCAAATTCAGTTCTGCTAGGCGCATTAGTCCTACTCGTCTTCGGACTTGTCGTGCAAACTGCCTTCAAAGAAATTGTGCGCTTACCTGCAAGATGGATTTTGCAAGTGCGAGGTGGGCAGGCCCGCAACTGTACAAATGGGCCACTTCCATCCCTCGAAAGTGAGCGAAAATGCAAGTGGAGGGCTGGGATGGCATAGCGATTTTGTTTCGTACTCCGTCGCTATCTACAATGTACGACGCTTGTTTCGACACTAACAATAAGGTCCCGCAGCGAACATGTTGCAAAATCCAGAGGTGGTGAACAATCAAATGAGAGAGGGCACAGGCAAGGAGCGTGCTGGGCCATACTCAGAGACAGTCCCCGCGCTCAAGTATTACGTAGGCGTCGTTCCTTGTGCAAGTAGTCTGGCCCTCACTCTCCAAGACTGCCCCACTTGCGCACCCTCACAGCAAGTAATGCAGGCATGCGGCCTTCATAAGTGGCAGCGCTGACGCCTCTCTAGTTGCCCCGCCCACAAAGACTTTAAAACTGTTTTCTGTCACAAGTTCAATTTTTACACCGCGTTTTTCGTTTTTCCCTTTGTTAGATGGCATTAACTTTAGATGACGCGAGGCAACGATCAATGAGCCAGTGGCGGCAGAGTATCGCTTTGCTGCCATGAAACGAGCAGGTTCGCAGAACTCTTACAATGAGGCCGCCAAGGGTCCTTAGGGTGTTCTCCATGATTTTGTTTCTTTCTTTTTCCCTGGAGAGTGATTTAGCGGTTACAGGTTTGTAACTCAACGCCACTGTCCCACGATATAATCGCGTTTGTTTTCAGCGTATGCTAGTTTTGGGGCACGTTAGCACACTCCTACAGCCGTACAGATGCGGTCCTTTTAATTTCACGCATGGCAAGAATCAGGATTCTCGAAGGAGCGCACAGACTATCTTTTGAAAGGTTATTTGAAACACTGATAACTGGTAAGAATTTCGATTCAGTGACAGATTTTCTGTGCGCTTTAGCATTTTTTCATTGCTCAAATTTTCAGCTGTATGAAATTGTCCCTGAGCTAGCTGAAAGAGCTTCGGGGCTGGCTCAGTGGATGCTATTTTCTGAAGAGGAGGAAGCGATTTGCACCACCTGGAGGACAGTCTCGGCGGTGTCTCTTCAAGGGTCTCCACCAACTCTTGGAACCTCAGCATGACGACGATGCGAAACACTTCCCTACTTCGGAAAATCATATTCTCTCTCCCTCTCTTGTACGGTATACTGTGCTGCTGTTGAGGGAACTAGGTGAAGAACTGGCCAGATCAAGCTCTACTCATATCGGAAAGTTACTATAAGCACTCTGGACACTGTGCACTTATAGTTTTTTTGTTCAATCTCCTCATTCGTCGTCTTTTGCTCCCTTTGTCAGTACTCTCTACCATAATGCCGTTTTGAGTAGAGAAACTCATTTTACTTTATACAAACGAAGTATGCGGTCACGCCTTACCCGTCTTGGGGGTGATTGTAGACGGCATACCATTATAAGTTTCCTCTTATGAAGATTATTACTGGTAAATATAATGGTCCCTTTTTATGCCAAAATCTACTAGGTCATTATTAACAGCCATGTGTTCTGGCTTCTATTGAGGACCTTCTTGGAAACCTTTTTGCCGCTAATTGAAAGCCACTCTTACGCTTCTGTGGCTCTAGCAAAAGGTTTACCTAGCTATCATGGACAGTAGAACCTCAGTGCGCTTACCTTGGCAAAGGTGTCGTTTTGAGACAAGAACTCGACGTCGCACAGCGGAACCTGAAAGTTCGCTCCAATGAAAATACTACTTTTAGCTTTATGGTAAATTTTGAGTTGTTATCTGAGGCGAGAAAGACACGAAAACACCTTCTAGGGACCAAAACACCCTATGTAGATTGATCACGCTCGACGCAGTTCAATTGTGTGGGCCAGCCGATGCACTGTCACTGTTTTTTCCTCACAAACAAGTCTGGCCCCACTCATCGTCTCGGAGAGTAGAGGTTTTGATTGGCCTGTGCGGAAAGCGATCCGAGGTGGTATGACCCCGGAATGTGCGCGCCCTAAGAAAACTAGATGTCTCTGCACTCTATCGTGTTGAGAATAAGAATAAATTGGTTCAGTAGTTGCCGGCATTATCTTTTTTAGGTGTGAGGCGCACAAATAACCGCTCAAAAGTGATCCTCATTTATTTTTTGACGTCTTTGACGAACCCATAAAAAATAAATTCGGACAATTACCGAGCACATGAATAAGTAGACAAGCTATGACAACTTTAAAATCTCTCTTACTCGCTATACGAGTGACTGTGCGGGCTACGGGGTACCCCCAACTCAAATATGTCATTTATTTAGAACGACAGAGCCGAACGTTCCACGTTCAGGGCACCGGTCAACCCTGAACTGCAGCTTAGACCTACTCTTGCCTAGGGTATATATCAGAAAAAGTTCCTGATATTCCGGGATAACAACAGCTGCGTATATAGCGCTGAAATACACTCCTTATCCCCGAGACGGAGTGGGCGTGGCATTCGAGCATGGCATAGAACGGGCTACTCGTTGGCTATTTCAGGTTGAGACAGGTGTCATCTTGTCAGTGTTGGACAGAGACATGACCACAACTGACCTGAGTCAAAATGAAAATATCTCACTAAAGGCACAGCCACCGCCACGTTTGCTTGAAGTACGCAGCCACGCCTACCCCATCTCAGGGATTGCGAGGGTAAGTCCTTACGCAGCCGATGACTGGTTGGGTGATGTGATCTTTCTCTGCCGACACATTTTAAAAACAATTGAAAAGCTAAAGAGTAGAAAACATTCACATACCCTGGTCGTATCATTGAGCAGTAGTACAAGTTGGCAGCATGCTCTTCTTGTCAGGTTTGTCTGGCGCTCACAAAGATGCATTGGACCTCCTTTGGTGGGTATTTCTGCAACACGTACAGCTTTCAAAGCCTTGTTAGGGCTGCATAAATGCAGAACAACATCTTCTCGGTCAAATACAAAAATCACAGAAGTTGCGCAAAGAAACCTGGGTGATTTATAATGACAAAGGGATAACAGTGGAAAGCGATTCAACAGAAGAAACTTGCTGATGCAAACAAGGAAGTTCTGATTTTAAAATTGAAAAATGAAGAGTCCATGAAAAATAACAAGCCTTCAAAAGTTGAGGTGCATTTTGTTTATTTATTTACTTATTTGCTCATTTATTCGTACGACAGCGACGGGCCCAGTCGAAGGAAGTTGGCAAAACGATCCAACAACAACACGTGGTACGGAGAAACAAGGAAAAGTGAACAAATCAAGAATTATTGCTGTCCAGGTGTCTCGCTTCTATCTGAATGTGTATTAACAATGTGAAACTCCAAAAGTTTATTCCAAAAACTCAAAAGACAGCAAAAGTCTCAAAAGTTTTTTAAAATATATCTTATCTTTGCGATATTTCGGTGCGTAGCACCTTCGCTTGACGAAACTTCGCTTGGCGCACCGAAATATCGCAAGATAACGATATATTTTATAAAGGTTTGAGGCTTTGCTGTCTTTTGATCACTTGAGTTTTTGGAATAAATTTTTGGAGTTTCACATTGTTATTACACATTCAAATTAAGAATAATAAAGACTGAAAAAATTATCAAGAACTGTAAAAATAGTGAATGAAAATGTGAAAAGATAAAAACACTACTGAAACTGTGAAGATGTTCAGAAAAGAAACCATTTACACTCCTTATCCCTGAGCCAGAGTAGGCGTGGCATTTGAACATGGCACGGAACTGGTTACTGTATTCCAGTCTGGGACAACTGTCATCTTGTTCTGTGTTGGACAGAGACACGACAACAATTGTGTCAAGATGAAAATATCTCACCAGAAGCATAGACACCTTCAGGTTAAGTTGAAACATGCAGCCACGCCTACCCGATCTCAGGGATTTCGAGTATAGAGACAGTCGATTAAGAAAAGACCTCACTTGGTTAAGAGAGCAACTATGAAATGAAGAGCAATAAAGTAGTGAGCAGTCCAGTCAGGAGCTTACCGCCACTAGAAAATGGTTACATGCGGTACAAAGGCTCTAGGATGGACTACAAGTGCCTACACCAAGTGGCCAAAGTGCCCTCAGCGCCACATATGGGGTCATTGGAGTTTACCGGCACTTGGAAACTGGCTCGGACCTCCTAGACCAGTGCGCGAAAGTACCTTTGCAAGTATCTGATGGGAAATTGATCATCTAAGTCTTCTAGACACACCAATCGCGTGTTCGCGGTAACCGAGGAAAAATCGCATGAGCTACTCCTCAGTCAGCTTGAACAACCAGACATTAATATAATGTCGTCACGAGGAAGTTACACAATAATATGGATGGACCTACAATCTATCGCTCTTCGTCAGGACCTAAAAGCTCTAAGAGATCA